ATGAACTGTTGATATATACTGCAACATATTTGAATCTCAAAATAACTATGCTAAATAAAAAGTTAGACAAAAATAGTACGTTCTTACAGGGCTGGCTGGTTAGCACAGTTGGTTAGAGCACAGCCTCACAGTACCAAGGTCATGGGTTCAGATCCCCATACTGGCCAGCCTCCAAAAGAACAAACAAATACACTAAAAATAGTACCTTCTCTGTGATTCCATCTATATAAAATTCTAGAAAATTCAAATAAATCTACAGTGACAGAAAGCAGATCAGTCACTGCCTGGGGCTGTGGGTTCGGGTGATGGGTAGAGGCATGAGGAAGATATGGACACAAGGAAACTTGTGAGTGATTTATATGTTTGTTGATTGTGGTGATGGTTTCACTGGTGTATGTATGTGTCAAAACTTTTCAAATCATATAATTTATATATGTGTATTATTGTCTGTTAGTTTTACCACAATAAAAATGTTTTTAAAAAGTAAGTTTAATATAGAAACAATAAAACATCTGTAATCCCCTCAAGGAATGTGTCCAAGTGCACACTACCAACAACAAATAAAACTTGCTGGACTTCTGATGAGAATAAGGAATTAACCAGTTAACAACCTAAAGTCCACATGACACTCAAACATGACCTAAACAAAGTGTGCCCCTCTACCAGTGGCATCAGCATTTACTGGAAGCTTGTTAGAAATGCAGATTCTCATGCTCTACAGCTGATGGACTCAATCTAACTATGGCAGTGGAGCCAGGTAATCTGTGTTTTAACAAGCTCATCAGGTGGTTCTGATACAAGCTTAAGTTTTAAGTCTTCTGATCTAGAATAACTCTATTTTGACAGTTGCCAAAGATCCATGTTCTTGTTATCTTAATTATATTACATGAAATATTTTTGTGCTATGTAGTTACAAAAGCAAAATAGAAATTACACAAAAAGAGGATAAAATGGCCTATAATTGCGTCACCTAATTAAAACATTGTTTTCATTCATTCATTTAGGGTCTTGGCTTGCCCATATGTTCATATAATTTTTACATTTTTACAATATTATCCAAAATAATCTTAATCCCCAATTGTTTGCCCTACTTTTCATTTTTCCTATCCTCAGTAATCTAATATGTTTTCATGTTCATTTTATATCTTCTTTGAGAAGGTATTCTTTTTTTTTTTTTTTCCTTTTTGTCTTTTTTACTGACCGGTAACGGGATTGCAACCCTCGGTGTCGCGCCCGTACCGGAGACTGGCAACGGATCGCAACCCTCGGTGTTGCACCTGCACCACGCTCAGCCAGTGAGCAGGAACCGGTCTCTACATGGGATCCGAACCCTCAGCGGGAGCGCCACCATGCTCCCAAGTGGCACACTCTCCAGTGCGCCACCGGGCCAGCCCGAGAAGGTATTCTTGAAGTATTTTTTCATTCCCATCATCAGGCAACTTTCTTATTGTGATTATAAAGTGCCCTCCCTGAAAATGGTTACATTTTTATGGGTGCCTTTAACTCACATACTAGAGTCTTTTTCTCAGTAAATCAGTCTGTTAACCTTTTTAATACTAGCTTATAATATCTAAACCAGCTTTATCACAAAATTTATCCTTTGTATAACTTTTTCTAACCCTAACTCTTACTTTTTTTCTGAATTTTGGGCAAAAGTATTTACCATAAATTTTGTGCAATACATGTAGGAAGTTTATTCATTAAATGAATATTTACTCAGTATTTGTTCTGTTGGGCACTAAAAGTACAAGCTTGAGAAAGGGAGACATGATTGATTAGATGAAGGGGTAATGGAGAGGGTGGAGTCGAAGTTACTTCAAATTTCTGGCTGGGGTAGCTGAGTTGTGCTATTTTCTGGAATGGGGAAAATGGTAGAAAGATAATGAATTTAGTGTTGTTTATATCAAGTTTGCTTTTAGGAAAATTACAAAAGTTCTCTGTCCTGAATCTTCATATGTAAATTTTTTTAAAGTATCTACCTTATATTGTCATTGCAAATATTAAATAAGATAAAACATGGAAAGAGTTTAGAATAATCTTTGACATTTAGAAAACACTCAATACATGTTAGTTAATATTATTGTTGTTGAGTTTTAGGTTACCTGTGTGATGCTATGCAAGTGGAGATTTTTAAGACAGTTGGCCATGGGAACCTAGCTTTTACGAAAAAGTGTTGATACTTGGGATTTCCCAGGGAAAGAGAAAGAAGAAGGTACCCCTCCACACAAAAAATGAATATAGAGTAATACAGATATTTAAAGGATAGGCAGAGTGAGAGGAATATTATTCCACAAAGGAAAATAAGAATGATCTTTTTATCCAAACATGGGCAGGCAGCATAAACCAGTTTTTGTCAAAAAAATTTTTGACCTCCAGAAATAGACACAACACCATTTTCCGTTTGTGTTAGCAAGTTACAGTAAAATCTAGAGTAGTGGTAAGGATTAAATAAGTGTCTAACAACAGGTAGTAAAGGGTGGGCACACAGCAAATGTCAGCCCTCCCTACCATCTGTTTAGTAAACTTTCTGCCTTTCAATGTCCCGGGATTGCTCTTTTTGCTACTATCCAGTAATAAATGCCCTTTTATCTCCCTTACTGTAATGTTGGTCAGTTAGCTAGATAGGACCACTAGCTTGATAGGACCATAATTTTACTTGACTATAGTGTTTGGAGATTTCAGGATATCATTTATAGGTAAATGGTATTATAATACCACAATTAAGTTTTTTAGCACCCTCCACTTTCAACCTCTAGTTTATTCCTTTCTTTCCTGTAGCCCAGATAGCAGTTTGGCTTCTAAGAAAATACAGCTTTCTTGAAGTATTATCCTCAGGTTTTGGCAGAGGTATGCTCTAAATACCGGCTGAGATCCCAAAATGTGGCTGTTTTCCACTTATGGAAATCTACTCAAATTAGATTTTTTCCTTCTTGCTTTCTTGATGACTGGAACTTGTAATCAGATTTCTACTACCAGTTCTGCCAGTAATGGGCTATGTAATGATTTGAGGCAATTCAGCTCTAAAAATTTTGAAACTTTTAATTTCTCCTCTCTTGCTCTATTTTCTTCAGAATAATTGGATTGAGGTTGATGAATACTAAATCATCTTAATATTATGACTAATTAAAGCCACAAAGGGATATATTTCTAGAAAATAGAAAATGTAGTAATATGTCAATAATAATAATTGTCAAAGGTAAAGGTATGTTTCAGCCTTTCATTAATTGGCTAATATTTGCTTCACTGGCTTTGAAGTAATAAGTGGAAACTGACCAGAAGTAGTATTTTCAAGGTACTTTTATTTATTAAAGGATGGCTTAACATAAGGAATTACTCAATGCAAAATTATCTTTAGACTAAACTTAGGATTTATGATATACACACACTTTGGGGGTAGAAATAAAGTCTACTATACCTTAACTTCTAGGAGTATGTGTATTGTAAGTCAGTTGTCTTGTAGATATGGTTGTTTTCTCTTTCTCAGGTGCTGCCCAGGCTGTCACTGTGAGTAGGATCTAATAAGAGGGTTCTTAGAAAAAGGTCTGGCCAGAGACAGCCTTAAGAAAGTAAAGGAACTGCTTGTAGCCCTGAGGTGGGAACACATGCCATGGAGCTACAAGCTGGGGTCCTTAAACTTTAGAGTTTTGAATTCTCTTTCTGTGATTGGATTCCATAGGTGTGTCAGAGTTCATACCCTTACTATGATTGGGTATATGCAAATTAACTAACCATAATGTGTTGATCCAAATACCACTAGTACACGTGCTAGCTCTGCTACCCCTGTCTTTTTGGCTGTACAGATATTCACACCAGACAACCCTACTGTATAGATGCTGATTAGATATGGTGGACCCTCGCTGGTAGGTAGGCAGTCCTTCTGAGCTGGTGTTGATAAGTGCTGTGGTCAGAACTGAGACTTGAGTCACAATTCAAACAATCTGAATAGAAGAATTACTGGTGGTTTCTTTCTTTTTTTTTTTTTTTTCCTTTTGTCTTTTTTTTTTTTTCGTGACCGGCAACGGATCGCAACCCTCAGTGTCGCGCCCGTACCGGACCGGGACCGGCCACGG